AGAGGCAAAAGCCAATCCAATCGCATATGCAAACGACCTCTGTGTTCCGAGGCAAAGGCCAGTGAGGCTGCATATGCAAATAACCTCTGTGTTCTGACTGGCTAGGGGGGGGGAGGAACAGCAAACTGTTTAGAAAGTTGGAGGCAAGACTCAAGCAATGCAGCCAGTGGATAGGGACAGATTCTGAGTGACACACCAGGGCGCCAACCAATTCCGAAGTGTGTGGAATGTTCTAGAGAAGTGCCACCTCCATTCGACTTTTATATATAAGGGAGATGTTGACACAAGATTAAAATATTATAAATTGAAAGATTTAATTTCTTTCTCTGTCTTTTGTATTAGGGTGTGGAGTTTGCAAAAGAATGATGCCATCTTTCCAGGAGGCAGCCACAGAACTGAAGGGCAAGTATGTAAGTGAGAGGGGCTGCAAGGCAAATAAGATTTTTTAATATTTTAAATGTGTACTTTAATTTTTTCCCCAATTTATTGCTGTAAAACAAAGCATAGTTTAAACTGGCAGACATGGCAACATTTTTTCAACTCACGCAGAGGCCTCCAGGCAGTGTTTTAGAGAGGTTTTTTAAAAAATTATCCATCACTAGCAGAGACGACGAAGAAGAAGAGATTGAATTTATACCCCGCCCTTCACTTGGAGTCTCAGAGCGGCTTACAAACTCCTTTCCCTTCCCCTCCCCACAACAGACACCCTGTGAGGTGGGTGGGGCTGAGAGAACTCTGACACAAACTCCTCTTTTTCAAGGACAGCTGTGCCAGAGCTTGTGACTGACCCAAGGACACATCAGCAGGTGCAAGTGGAGGAGTGGGGAATCAAACCTGGTTCTCCCAGATTAGAGTCCGCACACTTAACTACTACACCAAACTGGCTCTCCCATTGAAATTGTGTATTCTTTGTTTATAGGTAAAGGTAAAGGGTTTCCCTTGCTTGAAAGCCAGTTGAATCCGACTCGAGGGATGCAGTACTCATCTCCGTTTCCAAGCCGAAGAGCCAGCGCTGTCCGAAGACGTTTCCATGGTCATGTGGCCGGCATGACTAGATGAGGCTGCGGTGTCTCAAGTGGTTAAGATGCTGAACTGCAGACTGGAAGGTCAGTAGTTCAGTAGTTTGAGACCCGAGTGTGCCGCATGACGGATTGAGCTCCCGTCTCCGGCCCCAGCTCCTGCCAACCTAGCAGTTCGAAAGCAAGAAATTGCAAGTAGATCAATAGGTATCGCTTAACAGCATTCTTTGTTTATACAGTGCCATAATTAGAATTTTGCCACAAAAGACAAGTCCCTGCCCCCAGACGTTTGGCGTTGGAAAGTGCCGTCAAGTCACAGCCGACTTACGACAACCCTGTGCGGTTTTCAAGACAAGAGACATTTAGAGGTGGTTTGCCATTACCTGCCTCTGCATAGCGACCCTTGACTTCCCTTGGTGGCCTCCCATCCAAGTACTAACCAGCACTGACCCTGCTTAGCTTCGGAGATCTTATGAGATCGGGCTAGCCTGGGCCATCCAAATCAAGGTGGAGCCCAGAAGTTTACCTTCTCTAACTTTGTTTGAGGGTAATAAAATCAAAGAGAAAGACAAGGAAAATGGTAACTCTGAATAAATGTGAGCAAAAAACATTTGTATTGGGCTTCTATTAACAATGTTTTCAGAACACCTAGAGATTCAAAGCCATTTTAAGAGGTAGTAAGCAGGAAAATAAGGAGCTGCGGTGGCTCAAGTGGTTAAGACGCTGAACTGCAGGCTGTGGAAGGTCGGTAGTTCAGCAGTTCGAGACCCGGGTGCCACATGATGGAGTGAGCTCCCGTCTCTAGTTCCAGCTCCTGCCAACCCAGCAGTTCGAAAGCAAGAAATTGCAAGTAGATAAATAGGTACTGCTTCGGTGGGAAGGTAACAGCGTTCCGTGCGCCGTGGTGTTTAGTCATGCTGGCCACATGACCACGGAAACGTCTTCGGACAGCGCTGGCTCTTCGGCTTGGAAACGGAGATGAGCACTGCAACCCTAGAGTCGGATTCGACTGGCTTTCGAGCAAGGGAACATTTACCTTTACTAAGCAGGAAAATGAGGCTAAAGCACACAATACAATATGAAAGGAGCGAGAGTGTTTGTGTGCCCTGTATTCTTTGTACTTTCATTCTAATGTATTGATTGAAGGTAAGCTCATTTCATTAGAATTGCTTCCTAGGAACTGCATTTCTGCTTGCAGCCTCAATATTCTGTTGAAACATCTGCTTTTCATTGCATGTTTATTCTTGGCAAACTGCTATGCCAAAGTAACCAATTTGTGCTTGGCGTGAAATTAGGTCACATTTTTCAAATTAAGGATTCCGGAAGGAATTCCATGATTAAACATGAGGAAATGTACCTATCAGTGAGCAAATGACTTTACTTGCTCTGTGTTTCAAACCAATCTTTTCTGATATGCTGGTGTTTTCTTATACCTACATAGCACTGGTGTTAATTTAATGCTGAAATTAGTAAGAGTTCCATGCAGCCTTTTTAAAAAAGAAAATCATTCATTCATTCATTCTTTCATTCTTTCATTCATTCATTCATACCTAGTTTATTAGGGACAGAGATGATTTTCAGTTTTTCATCCCTGCAGTTTTGTTCAACAAGCCTTCATTCAATTTCACTTCTCTCCAGTGCAAATTAAACCATTTACTTTTGTGTCGTTTTGTTTTCCCTTATGTTGGAACATTCCCATTAAACTTTACACAAAATTTAACATTAATTTTATGTTATTTGAACAGATACATCAGAAAAATTAGTGTAGAAACTGTGTTTAAAAATCCCAAACAAATCAGGAACACAAGGTACAGCAGTAGGAAAAACAAAACGGCCCAAAACAAATATGAAGACAAAAAAGGACATATTCCTAATTGGAAGTACTTGCATGGTTAGCTCACATAAAGAGTGAATTTTCTCATTTTTTTTCTTTTAGGGGCTCAAATGTTATATTCAGTGCATCTAAGAGCAGAACTAGTTGTGGTGATTGTGGACTTGCTGTCAAATGGCAAGCTCAGGCTGAATTGTCTCCCCTCTGTGTTGTGTGTTGTGTGTGTCTCCCCTCTGCTTGTAACATTCAGGCATTCTTAACCCACATTGTGATGTCATCATGCCATGCACTTCTCTGTTCTGGTCTGCATCCTTGACCATTGATGGTGGGGATACAGCAGAGATAATAAGGCCTGAATGTTGAGGGGAGAAGTCAGTACAAGTCTGCCATTTTCAGACTCTGCCCCATGACATTTCTAGATCCCGATCCCATGTCATTCATCTCTGGATCCATTCTAATAACTGCCGTTTGATGGCTCTGGGGAAAGTAAGTTGATGCAAGGAGTTACGAGCCAATGGGGAATTTCACATTACCCTTTTAAAGCTTTTTTTAAGCCATTATTGTACCGTCTTGGAGTAAACCGGTACAGGGCTGCCATTTCACACAGCCTTTCCCCTACCGGTAAGGAGCCATCTCTGAAGCGTTTGGCATTTCAGACTGCACCGCTTTGTTTTCCCACCCTTTTTCGCCCGCACGGGTGATTGACTTTAAAAAAAATATCCGTTTTAGAGTGCTATAGCGCTATAGTGCTATAGCGGTATAGCACTCTAAAACGAACATAAAAAAAAAAGGATGGAGATCACCTGCACAGGTGGAAAAGGGCAGGAAAACAAAGCAGTGCCGGAGGAAGCGCTATGGGGCATTTTACGCAGCACCCCGTAGCACTTCAGAAACAGTATAGAAAAATGAAGACCACTTGGAAGCAGTTTGCAGGTAAAACAGTTCAGAAATGCTTCCCTAACTGGACAGAAGCATTTCTGTCTGAAAGTGAAAATATATTCCAGTAGGGAACCGTTACTAAAACGGTTCTGTCTGAAATGTCAGACCAGAAACAGTTAGGGAACAGTTCCTGAATCGGAATATATCGGCTGTCTGAAATTCCCCACTGTACTGTAGAGGTTTGGAATGCTGAGCTAGAACTGTGGAAACTCAAGATTGAATTCCCTCTTTGCCATGAAACTCACAGGGTGGCCTTGGCCTAATCCAGCGGATAGCCTCTCAGCCTAACAGAAGCACGTTGTGGCTGGGAAGGAGGACAGAAGGTGCCTTTTGCTGGATGGAGGATCCTCTTTCGACTGAGAGGGATAATATGCCAGTCCTTTGATGTGTTGACACTTCCAGTTCCAATAACCTTTATTGGCATACAATAATTCTATAAAAGGAATAGCAGTACAAATCAACCCATATGTCAACAAAGGAAAACAGTCAATTTGTAGCACTGTATATAATAGATAATAGGACAGAATGATAAAAATTTGGGACAGTAATCTCAAATATCGCAGTAATTAAAACAGCTACAAGAAGAAGCTTAGCTATCCAAAGAGGATAGACACGCCTTATCTCTCTCACTCACTCTCCATCTCCTTATCAATTCCTCTTCCCTCTATTCTTCCCTCTTTTTCTTGACCCCTGAGTACATTTGCCAGGAACTCTGCCACCTGCTCAGTAACTTCATGGTTTTTGTCTGCTAGCAAGAATTCAGTACCTCTATTGGTCACAGCCTTAGGGAGTTGAAGAAGGGGTGTTGACACCTTTTGATTGGAGGGTCCAGGTTTGGCAGGCTGGAGCCCCAAGGCTTGGCACCCAGATTGGCTGAAGGCCCCAGAGCATATGTGGCGTGGGCTCTGAAAAGGGGAGCTGTTCCTTTGTTTGAGAGGAGAGACTCCTAGGAGAAACTCTTGGGTCTGTGGTCGAGTGCGCTTTACTGTGTGTTTTACCATGAAGGATGACAGAGGAGAATTAAGCTAAAGAGGGTTGCAGATGCACCAGGGACGGGGGCATCCTGCAGCTGGCAGAGATCAGATGTAAAATAGATTGTAAGTACTTCGTTTAGCAATTGTCTTTTTGCTTGTTTTAGTTCGTGCACCTAGATTCTGTCCTTTGCAATTAAAGTTTAACTTGAATGAGCCTGCAGAAGTCCTTATCCCTCTGCCTGGCCACTTGGCATGCTACTGAACAATGCCCCTGAGGTTGGCTTCTGGCAAACCACTTGAGGGAGAGGGGCTGGTTTTTACCTGAAGTGACGGCAGCAACAGAAAAGCAGGGCAAGCCAGTGACTAGTCTTGCCCCACAATGTGACAGAGACCACAACAACAGTGAATAAAACTTGCTGTTTTTCGTGAGCCGTATGGACGTGGGACACATGAGAAGTTCCCCCCCCCCCCATGTGAAACTCTTATCCAGTTACAAAAAGGTGTAAGTATGCAGGAAAGAAAGTGACGTTTTCAGAGATGTCTGGTAGGAGCAGAAAGTTGGTTAGTTACACACACACACACACACACACACACACACAAAACCCTGCTGAAGTCTGCAGTTTCCCTTTTGAGAGTTCGAGCACCTC